TTACCTGGGAGTTACGCCCTTGTGAAAGACTGGAACGAGGAACCACTTCAAGCCAGATGGAAGGGCCCATATAGGGTACTTCTAATGACCCTGACGGCAGCAAAGCTCGAAGGAATCAAGATTTGGATACATTCCAGTCGCCTAAAGCCGGTGGCTGGACCAGAACAAGAAGGAACCCCTGCAGACTCCGGGACTGGAGGCAGAGAACAGTGGAAGGTGGAGCCAATAAGAGACTTAAAATTCCTATTCAGAAGAAAGGAACTTTAAATAATTTGTCAATATTTGATCAAGTTTTTGTTGTAAAGGGTTTTGTGTTATAGGGATTATGGTTTGTTGTTGTTGTATCCAATGTTTACCTGTTTTTATATCTATCTTCAGGCCTAAGGTAAATCAAATGATTTTACAAAGAAAGCTGATGATACTAGATTTTTGTTAAGCCAAATTAATTGGAGCAATCATTATAATAATTAAAAATGCTCCAGAGGGGGGAATGTAAGGAGTGACCTAGAAACCACTATGCAAAGACGAAGCAGAAGAGAATGTTATGTGACGAATGCCCATCTGCAATGATAAGGAGGAGACAGTCTTAGATAAAGGAGGCTTGAAAACAAAATAAGAAACAGAGTACTGGGTTATAGGGCTCATTAAAATACTAAAAATCACGCCCCTAGGTGGGGAAAAAGTATGCTAATGAAACATACATGTATGTAAATGAGATACATGGATAAAACACAGGTATAGAGACATGCTCAGTAAAGAACTCCTTGCGTCACTCCTTTATAACCAATCAGCAAACAAGGATGCTTATGGAGGTTCAAAAACTCCTGTATAAAAGATGCTTAGAAATAGTAATCTAGTGTGCTTGTTACGTGAAATTATTCCGCTCGCACCTTTTATTGCTAGCAATAAACTTTCTTTGTACTTTCACCCCTGGTATCTTTATTGGCCTTTGCATACCAGGCACGATCCCAGACTTGAGCTGGGGCTCAACACTGTCAGACCAATACACAGATTATCTGATAGTTTTGAAAAGGAATTTCACCTTTACATATTGTTGCTGCTTGGATAAATCCAGCTGCTTCATAGAAGCACCTATCACATTTCTTTTATATTCTAATGAATTTTTAAACACTATGAAATTTCCTGAGCATGAATACTGACTTTATGGTACAGTAGATTTCTAGTAGGACCATCAAATGAGGAAAAAAAATCTGATCTATATAAATTATACTTGGGAATAATGCATCAGCTTGGGGTTCTTCTTCACCCAAGATTTTTTTTTTAAGTTTCATTTTGTGCAAATTTCTCTGACCACCTACACTTACAGGTTTGAATTAATTGAAAAATTAACTGAATTAATAGTTTGAATTAATCAAAAAATGCAAGCCAAGACCGAGTTGAAAGTGGTGAGAATTTCTGCCCAAAACCATATCAGATACAGACTTGTAGCTCAAGATTGCTAAAAAGTAAAACTTTCAGTAAGCCCACTTCAAAGTATTTGGTTTGTTGAAAAAGACCTCTAGCCTCTCTCAGTAAATGTAGTGCATTCATTTGAAACATATTTTCTATGATTCCATGAGGAAAACATCACCCTTCTAAGACTGGTGAACACTGGAGAGAAAAGCCCTCCCCAGCATAAGCAGTTCACTGTGAGCACAACATGTCTAAAACTGGAGTTATGTTGGGCTGTGGACATACAAGACATGTAGCCAATTTCTCTGCCTGATTGGAATAGTACTTATCTGTCATCTAGAACTTGATTTTAAATTCAACACTTTCTTCATAACTATTAGGGCTGTGTGAAAATTTGGTCCCTGATTTGATTTGGCTGAGATTCGGCCCAATTCAGCAGCCAAATCTCTGAATCCAAATTGAATCAGGAGATCCTTTAATATCTCCAGATCGAATTGGAACTCCCTGAATTGATTTGGAGAGATTCAGAAAGATTCGGCGATTGAGACATAGACACAGTTTTAAATGTTTTTTCTACATACCTCTAGGTACCAGGTGGCTCATGAATGCGGAGATGGTGGAGCAGATGGAGCATCCCACAGCAGCAGGGGGGCGGGGGGGGGGGGTCCCCAGCACACTTAGCAGTAGACCCAGAAGTGGACCAGAAGCACTTCTAGTCAACTTCCAGGACCACTGGGGAGTGTGCTGCCACCGCCATGCCCCTCCCCAGCATAGCGACTGGTGCCTCTTATGTCTGGGGGAGCACCCGGGGTCCCCCCATGGCCAAGCACTGAGCCAAGGGGATGTGGGGGGGGCTCAGAGTGCTCCCCCAGACCCAGGAGGCACCAGTCACTGAGCCTGGTGGACCCGGAAGTGGCCCCTGGCTGATCACTGAGCCAAGGGGGCGCGGGGCAAGGAGGGGGCCGTGAGTGCTCCCTGGTGGACCCAGAAGTGAACCAGAAGTATTTCCAGTCCAATTCCAGGTTCACCACTGAGTATATGGGCCCCCGCCCCCCCCCCCCCCCCACCCCCCCGTCGCTGCGTCCCCCCCCCCCCTGCTCCATCTGTCCCAGCATCGTAGTGTTCACAAGCCGTGCCTGGTACCTCGAGGTATATAGAAAAAACATTTAAAAGCTGTGTCTATGTCCAAAGCGCTGATTCTCCGAATCAACATTGAATCTTCAGATTCAGATTTGGCTGAATTGAATTAGGTACAGTGATCCAAATCAATTAATTGAATCACTGTCCCCGATTCGGGCTGAATCTGAATCTGAATCTGAATCTAATACAGCCCGCTACACATATCCCTAATAACTATTCTCCAATTTTCATTCTAAAATTACTGTTATTACAAAGAGCAGATAAAGAGGGTTGAAAATCCAGTCCAAACACATTTATTTAAAAAATAGAAGTAATGATCATGAAAGAATTTTGCAATTCTCCTGTGCCCCTACTGTGCTCTAATTACTTGGATCGGTCTCTGGATTTGGTTCCCTGAGCTGGATTTTGTGAATCTCTCTTCCATACTCTTTGTGGGGTCATCTTCTTAATATCTACTCACTTGTCCAGTTCATCCACAGGTGTTCCAGATCCTCCTAAGCCACAGTAACATCCATAGTGATTAAATCTCCATAGTGGATCACTGTTAGGAATGGTACATTTGATCATTGACCTTAACTGCCACAGGGCTCTTGGAGTGGGATCAGTTGCGATAATACTGACTGAAACAGATCAAATAGAAAGAATGCAAGATTCATTTTAGGGTACAACAATAAGTTAACATTGATGTGGAAGAAGCCATGTTACTGGTGAAAGCCATGAGAAAACTTCTAGATTTTTCAAATAAACTCCAGCTTCCTGTCCTGATTAAGATTAAAGCATTCCCAAAACAAGTTGAAACTGGGATGGAAATCCAGGAAGTAATTGAATCTATTATGTCAAATCTAATTTGGCTTCTCTACTTTGAAGTTATTCAGGTATAGCTCATGTGCTCATGCTCTTAATAAAGAATGAGTGGTTTTCTACATTAATTTAATCTACTTTGGGTACCTGTAGACATGCAGGACACCTGCTCCAACACGCTGTAATTACAGTGTGTCAGAGCTGACACGATTAATCGAGTCTGCTGGAGTGTGCTAATTAGCATGCTCTAGTAGCCTCAGCTTCTCAAGTATTCAGGGTCCCCACACTTGAAAATGGCAGAAGGGGCACTTTAACTAAAGAGGCACTTTAACTAAAGCTCATTGAATGAGTTTTAATTAAAGCACCCCCGCTGCCATTTTGAAATATAGGATGCTGAATACAGGAGATGCTGGGGGCACTGTAATTAGTGTCCCTTCCACCTCAGAGCATGTGTAAAAACTAGGACTAGGTTAATATAAACCAGAAAAAAACATTTTTACTCTAAAATAAGAGCATCCACATATGAAGTTAGTCTGAAATAAGTTATTGTGTTACATCCATACCCTGCCTTAATCCAGAGTTATATTTCATGTGGAAAAAAGTTACACAGACAGAGACTGACCAAAGTTGACTGTACAAAAAGAAGGACTTTTGGTCCCCTCTACACATTATAGGTATCACACAACTGGTAAATTGCACAATTACCTTAACCAGCTACGTGTACAAATTAGCTATCACATGATTAAAGGCTCCAATGAGCTATAAAGTTAGATCTAAAAAAATGTGTACTAACTTTATAGCTTGTTGCTATTGAGCTTTAAATTGCACATGTAGTGGGGTCTCCACTGTGGCTGGGAGCCCTATCAGCAGATAGGGCTTCCAGTTGCAGGGGTGTACTGTGCCCAGCATGAAACCCCCAAGCCCTAAGGATCACAGCTGCCATGATCCCCACAGTTCAGGGGGTTTGAAACCCCCAGCCCACATGGGGCTCTTGGTCCCAGCTGCGCCTCACAAACTCAGGACTGAGAGTCCCGCAAATGACACAACACTCACAATTAAGCAAAATGTGAGGCACAGCCAGGACTGGGCATCCAGTCCCATCTTTGCTGGAGGGGCTCCCAGCCATGGGGGCCACATGCAGCTAGGACCGAAAGACCCTGCAACTATGCCTCACTCACAGCTAGGACCAAGAGTGCCACAACTGATGGGGCTCCTGGTACTAGCTGCTACAGGGCTGTGCTCAGTGCCCCAGGCTACAATGGGGACATAGCCTGCCAGCATAGAACAAGGGTAAGGTGGAGAGGATGGAAGCAGGAAGCAGAGGCTTGGGGGAAGCAAAGGCTTTGGTTGAGCAGACAGGAGGCAGAGGTGACATGGGGGCAGACACAATCAGGCAGCAAGCAAAAACATATCCAAAGGGACAAAACTGTAAAAAAGCACAATAAAAAAAATTCCCTCTATCAAAACTCCCCATAGCACCTGCCTCTTTGCTGCCTGCCCCCCCTGCAGCAATGGGGGGAAAAAAAATCAAGACAGCCCTCCAATACTTAGATTCTATACATGGAAAATTATAACAAATGTGTACATTTTCTCTATATGAAATCTAATTATTGGGAGGTCATAATTTCATAGTTGGCAGGGTTGGAAGGGACCTGAGCAGATAATCAAGTCCAACCCCCTGCCATGGCAGGAAAGAGTACCAGGGTCAAACGACCCCGGCAAGGTGTTCATCCAGCCTCCTCTTAAAGACCCCCAGGGTAGAAGCCAGCACCACTTCTCTTGGAAGTTGGTTCCAGATCCTAGCCGCCCTGACAGTGAAGTAGCACCTCCTGATGTCTAGTCTGAATCTACCCTCTGCCAGCTTGTGACCGTTCTTTCTAGTCACTCCTGGTAGTGCTCGGAGAAACAGGGATTCCCCCAATGCCTGCTGGTCCCTTCTGACTAGTTTGCAAACGCCCACTAGATCCCCCCTCAGCCTTCTCTTGTGAAGGCTGAACAGGTTCAGGTCCCTTAGCCTCTCCTTGTAGGGCCTGCCCTGCTGACCCCTGATCATGTGGGCAGCCCTCCTCTGGACCCTCTCCATGTTGTCCACATCCCTCCTGAAGTGCGGCGCCCAGAACTGGACTCAGTACTCCAACTGCAGCCTGACCAGTGTCGCATAGAGGGGGAGGATCACCTCCTTGGACCTGCTTGAGATGCATCTGTGGATGCATGACAAGATATGGTTGGCCTTTCTGACCGCATCCCCACAGTGTCGGCCCATGTTCATTTTGGCATCAATAATGACTCCAAGATCCTTTACTACCTCTGCACTGACGAGAAGGGAGTTCCCCAGCCTGTTGGTATACTGCTGGTTTTTCCTCCCCAGGTGCAGTACCCTGAACTTGTCAGTGCTGAAACCCATCCTGTTCTCATCTGCCCACTCCTGTAACCTGTCTAGGTCCGATTGCAGCCTAGGTCATCTTAAATTCAGAGTTGTTTTAGATTTGAATAAACAGGGTAAGTAGCCGTGAATATTAAGAATTCTTCCTCTATTCTGAGAGAGGCATGTAAACTTTTAATATAGAAAGATGTGAACATTTAAAGGGTTCTTACCTGCCCCAAGGAGAACCAAAAGCAGGTGGACCATCTTTGCAGCGGATAGCAACAGAACTGCAACCACTCAATGGAAAAGCTAAATTATTTATATGTATTGGTTGAACTTGTGTACTCCCACTTACATCAGCGTCATCAAAATTAGTTCTGCTCACATCAGTGGCTATAATCAAAATTTACACCAGTGTAAGGACACCTTTTGGCCCAATGCCTTTTAAGATGTCCTTGGCTCTTTCAACATATCTATTTGAGGAATTTTTATAGCACTGGACAAATAGACTTCCTAGTTAATATTTGAAAAGGAAAGAAAAGTGAGCAGAGGAACCTTTTGATGAGCCAAATAGCCAATTTAATATCTTCAAATCAAGTGAAAAAATGGGGGATGTGATGTGTTTGCTGATTTGGGTGAAGAGTGCAGGGGAGATGTGCATGAATTTAACTCTGAGGATACTAAAGAGATACATTCCAAACCCAGAATTTAACGTGTTCTTCAACTATGCTATGATTTCCCCAAAGCTCTGATCAAAATGAGATCACTGCTGCAAGTATCATGACATGGTGCCCTCACTACATGGGCAAGCAAAGACTATTGTGATTGCACCTAGCTGGACCTGTCTGTCTTTCAGTGATCCAACAGCTTTTCTCAGACCTCTAGCTGCTGATACTGCACTACATCCACTCTTCTGATTCCCTTCTCAAAGAATCAGTCAAGTACTGACGGCAGCGGTGCTGGATGTTACAGGTAGGCCAGAGATGGGAAGACAAGTCCAGGCAAACTTCCTGGCCCAGGGCCTTTCTCTAACTAATGAAAACCATCTGCTGCTTGGAGCCTTTTTGGATATAGCAGGATATAAGTCTAATAAAAACAATTTTTTTAACATATTCTCTTGTGGGTACCAACCTTAAGTGGCATCTACTTAGGGATGAAGGCATTTTTTTTTTTAACAATAGAAAACATATGGGCCATATGCTGTGGCACTTGACAGTCTTGACTGAGTCAGACTATCACTAAGGCACTTATATTTGGTGGCACTATTCTGGATTACTGCTAGGGCTCATGTGGGAAGCTCAGGAACAGTTCCTTCAGTGCTCAGTGTGATACCCACAGATTCATTCAGAGCTTTGCATTTGCTAGTGTACTTTTGAAGTAGAGAAGCACACAATGAAGATGGCTGCCAGTCTTTAAAATTGTTCTGCTGGCTTTAAGAGCTGCTAGGCTGTCTTCCCTTCTTCCCCCTGAGGCATCACATCTGTCCAAAACCAAAAAGGGCTACTCATGAACCAAAAGAAGATATTGATTAGTCAGAGAAATGATCATTGCGTAAAGTCACAAAACAAAGTCAGACAGTGTAGTAGTGCATCAGAAGCAGGGTCCTTCAGTTTCTGTGAGACTGTCAAAAGCCTATCAGGCCCTAAAACTTCATATCAAGTGGAGACAGCTAGATTGGAAGCATTTAAAACAGCAACATATTAAAACAAAGCAGTATTGGGGATCAAACTTATACATGCTACAGCACCAACCAAAATCCAGGCACCAGATACAGAGCCCTGATAAGTTTAGATCACTGAACTTAAATAGCCTGCAAAGCAAAACTAGATAGAGGTTACCTGGGAAAAAGAAAAAACAAATGAAACAAAAACCAAAAGAGCCAGCACCTTCATGGCATAGCTCCTTCAAGGGTTCAGTGAGCATTTTTATTTGACTACTGTCCACCTGCACCTAACTGGAATGGTCAGAGGAGATGGCATGTAATGACCCGTGGTGGGCCTCATTCAAGATCTACCTAACTACTGCTGTCATCAAGGCTAAAATAGATACTTTAACAGGTAAAGAAGTCCTAATATAATTCTTGGACCAGGAGTGGAGATGTAGGTCTCTTTTTCTCTTAGCAAGAGATCACAACAAGCAGTTTGGGTAACTGCTTTTTCCACCCTTTGGGTTCTGTCATTGAGTCAAAAACATTGTTATTTCTCAGATGAGTAAAATACCTGTTTCAAAACAACTTGCAAACAGGCAATGGGATCACATGAAAGTGCAGGTGTTCTTTTACCCTGAGCTTCACTACAGCATTGATTTTACAGAGCACAAGTATGTGAAAACATTTATTTTCACTGGGAAAAAGGCCTCTTGTTGAAACACCTGGTATAATAAAACCTGTCTAGCTGCTCTGTTATATCTTGAAAATCAACATTAAATATACTTTCTACTGAATTACTCTCATGAGTGAAATGTAACCATTTGTGGCTAGGCATTAAGTTTAAACATTTAGTGAGGTTCCTCATCTTACAGCCTACCTTTGCTGTGAAAATACAAGCTACTTGTAAGTTAAGTTGTAAATGGCTTTCTTGGCCAAATGGTTTTGATGACTAGAGACCTAGTTTTGACCAAATCCATCAAACTTGTATTAGACTCTCTCATCAGTCATTTTTACACACTGTGCATGATTCTAGAATCATGTAATGCTGAAAACAACCTTGTGAAAATGCTTAGCCTTTAGGCACAACAGCTTGCTTTGCATTCAGCAGAACCTGCCATCTGGCTTGATAACTTCTTCTGTGAATTCTTAGACTTTGACTTTGCTAACAGAAGGTGACATTTTTAGTTTTATCAAATCCTCAGTTACAATTCCACCAATAATTCTACTGTGCCTGAAGTATGAGCAAGTGAGTCAGTGGCTACAGATCTGACTGAAATACTGGGTAATGGTTTGGCAGACAACCGTCAACTGTAAGTGCAGCAACAAGGTTAGGTTTTAAGGAAACTAATTTAATACACGTCTTTCACCATTCCAGATCAGGCCCTCTCTGTTACAGTCATATTCCAAAGATGCTCAAACAAGATTCTGTATGAATCTGTTCAATCTTATATAGAAAATACTATATGTTGGAATAGCCTATGACTTCATCTAATACAGGGACCTGCTTACCCATACAGTGACCAGAGTTCTTCAAAATGTGCTGTCAATATGTTCATTCCATTACTGGTGCATGTCTCATGCTTTCAAACTTATAGACTTTTGAACAATGACATCCATGTAGTATAAGTGCATGCATGTCCTGGTGCTTCATATTCAGGGCAAACAAGGACAGCATGTGTCAACTGTATCTCAGTTCTCCAGATATACAAGACTTCTACACATAGGAGAGAGAATGCAGGACAACACAACTTCAAGAACTCCAGTTAGTATATTGCTAAATAACTTTCCATTCTCAAAGTCTCCTTGAGTGACTTTGAGTACACACTCCATTATTGAATACTCTAAAGCAACAGACCTAAATAAAAGGTGGAGTCCCAGAGTCTCAGAAGCAGAATGACTAGAACACAGTTTTGCCAAACGCAGCATCTTATCTAGTAGTCTCAAAGGTTACAAAATATGTTGCAAATGTATAAATAGCATTACAGAGGAATACTCTGCAGATGTCTGAGAAGAATGTTCTTTTTTAGTGAAACTACCAATACATTTCTGTTATGATGCCTGAGCTCTTCTAGAATCCATAGATAGAGATGGAGGTGAGTCCACTATAGCTATCTCATTGTATGTGTTTATGCAGTTCTAAACCCTCTTAGAAAACAGCGAGAATGAAGGACAAAGCAATAACCCCAAATGGGCACATCCACACATGCAAGCACATGCACTTGCAGCAGCTCAAATAGAAAAGGTGCAAATTTCAGCTGGAGCTTTTTGCCTCAGTGTACATGCCCGGGTATGCACTTTGGTGTGGTGCAAGTTGTGCCACTTGGGGCAAAATAACCCTACCTGGCTCCTCCCATATCTACAGCCAGGGGGAGCTAGAGCCCGGGGCCAGCACCTGTTCTGGCCCCATCAGTACAAAACCTGCCCTGGCAACTAGCTCAGAGCTACTCGCTCTCAGGAGCTTCTGAGGGAGGAGCCTCTGGGAGGATGCTGTCTACACCCCTTCCTGTCCCAGGCTGCTGCAAGCCTGGTCTCAGGAGCTTCTGCAGAGAAGATGGCCAGGCCCTTTCCTGCCTCTGGCTACTATTATCTGCAGGCTTGGTTTCAGAGCTTTTAGAGTAAGCTGGCCACACCCCTTCCTGCCTTGGGCTGCTGGTGCCCCCCCAGGGGTGGGTCCTCTGCTGCATGCTGTTGCCTGCCCCTCAGGGAAGGGCCCACTGCACCCCAGCACCTCACCTCAGCTTCTACACCTCTGTTCTGGCCTGCTGCTCAGCCTACCACCAAGATGTGGTCAGGGGACAGCCTGGGGAGGGATCCTGCACTGCCTGTGGGCCCCTCCCCAGCCATCACTGCCAGAGCCTAGAGGAACCTTGCCTGCCCAAGCTGCCTTGGCAGGCCTTCACCTCTGCTTTCACCAGAAGCACAGCCCGAGTGGCTGAACTAGATGGCTCCTACCATCACTGCTACTGTTGTTTCTGCTGCTGCCCCCTCTCAGGAGGATGGGAGACTTCCTGCTGTACCACATGACACCACAGCTGCACTGGATTACTTCCTAATTGACTGACTGCTCCAACCCTCCCCAACAGCTACCTCCCTGCATCTGATCCTGATTTGTCTTCCAGCCTGCTGCTCTGCTGCTAAGTGACCAGCTGAAGGCCTAAGGGGCTTCTGAACAGATCTTCCACAAACAAAGCCCCTCAACTACTCCAGCCATCTTTTACACCTGGTTCATCAGCAGCCTTCCCTGTGTGTGTTTTGCCCTTGTGTGGTAAGTCCTGTGGTCCACTCCCCCTGACCTGGTGTTTTTTGTGTGGCTGAGTAAACCAGCTTGAGTCTTCACAGCCCTTGTGTGTGTGTTTTTTGGGGGGTTTTTTGTTTTGTTCCCCCCCCTCCCCCCCCCCATTCTCAAAGCATAGGGCTCCTGGCTTTTTTTTCCTGTGGGGCTGTGGCTCAATGAGCTTCAGCCCCCTTCCTCCCTATTCCCCTTCTGCCCCACAACCCCAGCCTGCACCAACTAAGTTCACCAGCTGTGTGGGATATTTTGTTTTTCTTTATTGTCTTCCCTGCCCTCATGTGAAACAATGGCAGGGCAGGAAACTTCTGGGGGGGCAGATGCCCCCACAGAGCTTCCTGCAGTTCCCCACTATAGGGGTGGATCCCAGCCAAGCCCCCAAGGGGATGCATGCCCCTGCATCCTCCACCCTGGGGCAGAGTCCATCCAACTTCCTCCAGGGGTGGAGAAGCCTGCAACTGCTGCTGCAGGGGCAGGGGGGACTCTGGTAGGGAGCCAACAGAGCCAGGGGGTGACCCCTGGAGGGGTTCCCAAGCCCCCTCTCCTGTCATCAGGGACCAAGGACACTGGAAAGGGCTCCTCTTCAGCTTTCTCCACAGCTGGGGGTGGGAAGGGAAAGGGCACCCCAAAGCCCAGACCACCAGTGCCTGAGGGGACCAGCTGCACTACACCAGCCAGCACACCCACTCAGCCTGTCCCTGGCCCTAGCTCTGGCCCCACCAATATGGCCCCCTGGGAGGGGAACTGCAGCTGTGGGGAGACCTGAAATTGGGGGGCCTGGACCCTCCACTGTCAGCCCTTCCAGCTCAGGCAGCAGGGCCCCCTTTCCAGCACTCCCCTGCAGGCATGGGGTGAAGTACTAACTGTCCAAGCAGGAAAACCTGCACTTTGAGACCCAAGTCCAGGCCCTGGCTTGGGTAGTGGGGGCCCCCAAGATTGTGGTGGCCTTCTGCTTTCATGGTAAGGGGATGTTTTTTCTTGCCTCAGAGGCCACTGCACAAAAGGTGGTGGAGAGGGGGCTCATGGTGGAGGGTGAGTATGTCCCCCTTGAGCCTCTAGAAGAGCTGGAGACCAGGGTGGTCCTCAGCTCCATCCCTCCCTATATCCCCAATTGGGCCCTGCTCCCCCAGCTCCAAACCCTGGGGAGAGTTATCTCCCCAGTGGTGGCCCTCACTGGAGTGCCAAGACCCCAGCCTCTGCCATGTGCATTCTTTCCATCACTAGGTTATGATCCAGTTGATCCTTGTGATTCCTTTTTTGGGGGACCTGGTGAGGGTTTTCTAATTGCTGGGTGACCTGAGATGCTTCTGGGGCACTTGCATCATGAGTGCCCCATGGGCCAGGAGGAGAGGGCATCCATAGGTCCCACTGGCAAGAGGGGTGCCCCTGCCACTGGTACCCCTCCCTCTTCAGCCCCCATGTCATCCCAGCCACACCATCATGGGGGGGTGGGGGGTGGAGCTCAGGGGACCCCCACCCCCAAACCAAGTTTGGCAGGGTCTCCAGGAGGGCAGCAGCAGCCAAGGGGAGAGAGAGTGAGCAGGGCCCCCTGCCCCTAGGCACTGTAGCTGCCCCCCCTCCAACCTTCACCTACTCCTACTGGAGACTGTTCACTTGAGAACCACCTCATGGCTTACTGCGTGCAGGTCTCCTCCGGGCACAAAGCCAAGAGGAAGGCCCAGGCACAGTTAGAGTCCTCTGACCTGGAGAACTCCTCCCCTACTCCCAAAACCACCATCGGGAGAAGGATGGCTCAGCTCCTGGGGCCTCCCAGCTGCACCTGACACCCCACCCCCAGGAAAGATCAAATGGGTGATCCCTGTGGAGGAGATTTTGGGCCTGGTGGACAGTCCTGAACAGGAGCACGTGGAGGAGGCCCCTCACTCCACTGGCCAGGGCCTACCCCCTGAGACCACAGGCACTGAGGCTGAGACTGACCTAAAGGAAGATCCAGTAGTGGAGCTCCCCTCCAATGATCTGGGGTGGGGCCTGGGGCTTACCCTGGTGAGTCCTGGGGAGGGAGGTCCCTTTTCCTAGGACCCCAAGGCAGACACCAAAGCTACCCTAGTGCCTGATGGGTCTCTTCCCTCCCCTCCCAGAAAAACCTCACTTCCAGGCCTGCCCCATGGTCCCGCAGCAGAGGGGATCAGGGTGGAGTCCCCTAATCATCAGGCTAATCTTGTCAGGGACCCTGCACAGACCCCCTGGGGCTCCAGCCCTACCCTACCATCTTGTGAAGGAGCCCCATCCCCACCCTTACCCCCACCCCTGTCCCAAGGGGCTGCAGAGCTCTCCCAATCCCAACGGGAGTCTTGGGTCTTAGCAGACCAGGGGGGTCAGATAGTGCCTAAGGAGCCTGCTGAGCCCCAGGATCAGGAGGAGGATGCCCAAGAACTGGCAAGCTCCATGGAGCCTGCAGACCTCTCAGTCCTGGTAGTCCCCAGGGGGGAGCAACTTGCGTTTCTTGACCACAACTATATGTGGCAGTCCACCAGCAAGGTACAGCTCACCTTGGACCACTGGGGAAATTTTGACAGCATCCTTGCCACTGCAAAGGCACTGGTGGGGGAAGGCAAGGGGCCCAAAAGCTGCAATGCCTGGTTTTATAGGCAGGTCCCAGTTTCGTACATGCCCTCCATACTTATGGGAGGGCACTGCCTGAGCTGGC